ATAATAATGCTGTTTTTATTTCCATTAATAAGCTGCAAAACAAGGACCAGATATGAGTTAATAATATATTTTTAAATTTAAACCTAAGCACAACTACCTTATAGAGCCTAAAATGTTGAAAAGAATACGTTGTCCATCTTCTCATTCTGAGTGACCCAAACCAGTTACTTCTGTAAATCACCAGTTTAGAGGCCAACGTAATTATCATCTCTGTAGACCATGCTCTGAGCGGTACGAGTTTGCGGAAGGAACTGAGCAACAGAAGGCTTTAAAAAGATTATTTGAGCATAGAAAACACATTCAACATCCTACTTCCAACTTGCAAATAAAATTCTAAAACCCATACAGTCAGCTCCAAGCCTAGATTTATTCTCTCAAATTTTACTGCTCATGACAAATGGGGTGTAAAATACTTTAACGGCTCTTCTAAGCACGACTATAAACTCATTAGCATGCACAATGCAGGTCTCGGCCCACTAGCACTCTCAAATCACTTCTCCAGGCAAGGCAGAGGGGGAAAAACATTAACAAAAAACCTTTAAAACATAATGATTTACCAAAAAGTTTAAAAAGATACCAGTTTGAAGCATTTAAAAGTGAACATGCTGCACTAGGCATCAAAAGGTGACTCGTGTCCCGACCAAGACAGATCACAAATAAAAGATGGCAAAAAAAAGAAATGAAATAGAAACTACTTTTTAATAGATGTAATAAGAGAACAGATGCAGCTTCTCTTTTCTGACATATTCTTTGAAATGTTCACATAAATTATCATTTCAACATTTACTGCTTCCTATGAATTTTATCAGCAAATAATCCTTTTATTGCCAAAGCTCCACTGCAGATTCTGTGGCTGTTTCCACCTCGCTCCACATTCATACTCTCCACTATTCAAATGACCAAGTTCATGGTTCATTTTACTTAAATTAGTTTTACAGGCTTCTTAGGTACAGTAAGAAATAACTAACTTGCTGGCAAAACAAATAAGAGGAAGGACAGAAAACAGTTAGGAAGGGATAAGCAGAAAGCACATTTAAAAACAAAGAAAAAGAGTTTCTAGAAAAGAAGGTCACATTTTAGTAGCTGCCTAGGAAATACTAAGAATGCCTAAGACAAGAAATATTGACACTGGCCATGCTGATTAGTCAGGATTACATAGCTGACATTAATCTCTGGCCAAAGCAGGTGAAAGGATGTGACCGTATCCAAACAGATTATCTGCATGGAGCAGCACAGCAGAATCTATTCCAACACTCTCTTACTACACATTCTGCAATAGGACCTCCCTGGATTCAAGAAAAACAAAGATTTATTCCTACTCAGTCACTGTTTTGGGCTAAACTCTTGAGACAGCTACCTGTAACCTAAAGTCTACAAGTATGATGCTGCCCATTTGATGGGCTGTTTAAACACATAACCAGTTTGCATAAACAACTGCTAGAGTCAAGCACAAGCATAAACTGAGCAAGGTTTATTGCCTTCACCTCAAAGAAAAAAACAACAATTTGGCAATTGTTTAATGTATTAGGGCTTAAAAAGATAACAATATGTATAAAAAAGTGTGTGCATTTGCTATCATGGAATGGAAGAATATATTTTGGATACTTGTGCATTTGGTATTTTATGGGGAGGAGGAGAAGAAAGAGTAACAACAGTGTAACCACTACTAGTGTTTTTTTCTAGGACATAAAAAGTCCCACAGTGTCCTATGGCTATGGGGAGACCCAAATTTGCACCTTTCTCTCCCCCAGTTTGAGATCATTCCTTTGGCTATTACACATACTACACACACTTTACACAGTCTGACCCATTTGGTACACATGCCGTGCAGCGCTTGCTCTGTGTTTGCTGTACAGGTTTTGCTGGACACAAATAAGCACATTTACAGGGCTCACAGTGTGCCCGTTCCTCAAGAAAAAACAGTTTTGCTTCTCCACATCCAGGTGCAATTCTTTCACCAGTGTGGAATGCTCCCCTCAAAACATCATTTTTTTGTTTATTAAATTAGGCAGAGTTCCTAGCTGTTGACACAAAAGTGCTACCATCCATCAAGTCAGCTGCTAGACATTCAACTGTTGAAAGCCATGAACAAGAAAGCTCTTGCAGTGTTGTCCCTTCCAACTATTGTGATTTGCAGATGCATGCAAATCCTTTATTAAATTGAGAAATTTAACTTACTTGTAAATGCTGCTGATTGTAAATTGCTAAAATCATCACTTTATCATTGTGGAATACCACATCAAGTTCACTTTTCAGCACAGCATCAGAAGACTTGCACACCTTGTTTGTTTCCCAAATCTGTCAAAAAAGAGGGGGCAAAAAAAAAAAACAAAAAACAAAAAACACAAAAAACAGCATTTCATAAGTTTTAACAAAAGACCAGATATAAAACTTACTGAATAAGAGTAAAATTAAAATTACAGAGATATACTCTAAAAAATGACGTGGCGTCTTTAAAAGTTAAAATCCAGGTCTAAGAGCTCTCTTCTCATACCAAAATAGGTAACATATACACATGTATACACACATATAGATATGTGCACATAAATATACACATACACACACATACAATTTTAAAAGAATAGAAATATCAGCTTACCCGTATTGTCTGATCATCAGAGGATGTGACAAATAAAGATCCATCTGGAGAAAATGTCACACAATGAACCCAGCTCATGTGTCCCCTGCAATCTGCTACTTTTGATAATGATTTAATATTCCATAACTAAAACAAAAATATGAAAGAAGAACCCAAATGTAGATTATACTTGTAGGGAGAAGACTGCAAAACCTAGAGGAAGGCTACCTAGCTACTATTTCCTCTACTGTTTTCTTGCTTGTCATCCTGAAATCAGATATATAACAAGTCATCTTCTACTGCTCCTATTCAGTATGTCTTTTGGCCAGGAAAAAAAAAGCCTTTTTACCTGATATAAAATCTAAAAGAAGGAGGTAGGAGTGGGAGGGAAAACAAAAAAGAAGGAAAAAAACCCCAAAACCATGGTATAAAAATAAAAGTTCAAAGACCAAGCAGGTTTCAGAAAATAAGATACAGGCTTTAGGACTAACATCGCTAGATTAAGATATTCCAGGCACTGTTTTCTGCTTTGGTGGATTTACACATCCTGTACTGCTATACAGGACAAGAGGGGATTTGTTTGCCCCACCCCCCCCGCCTTTTTTTTTTTTTTTTTTTAAAAAAAACAAACCTTAAAAAGAAGCCTAGTCTTCTTTATGCAAACCTGAATTCTGTCAAAGCAACTACATTTTTTGTGTATATCAGCAAAAAGAACCTCCTAAAACAAATATAGTCTACTGTAAATTACAACTAGCCTTGCCTGGTAAGGCAAGTTCTGCTTGCCTTAGCAAAGACAATCACTTACCTCTACAGAGCAGTGAGATAAAGCAACTGCTACTAACTCATCACCAGGGCAGAAGTCACAATATTGGATCATACTGTGATGACTTACGACGACTTGCTTTAATAGATCACTTGTTTTAACATCAAAGAGCTGTGAACATATAATAATAGTACCCAGTCTGAAGGGCTTTATTATAGACAAACAGCTTAAATTCCCCACAGCATGCATTTCCTTAATTTAGAAGCTATTAGCAAGTTCATTGTCCACGTATTTTCACTTAAAGTACACTTATAACCATGCATCTGAAACTTAATAGCCTAGAATATTATCTTCATTCATAATTTCTACTTGGATATAATATACTATCTCTCGGAAATCATTAACGTGAGGTACTTACCAGGAGCTTATTTTTGGCTACCACCAAAACTGTGGCACTATTTCGTGACCAAGAGCAACACTTAACTAAGATCTCCACATCATCTGGTTGCTCATCTGCAGTTCTGAAGAAATCTTTTATCTCAATGGTTTTAAGTTCATTTGCAGAGCACACTTCCCAAAGCTTCAAGAAAATAAATAAATAAATAAAATAGATAAATGAAGCATATGAAAAGCCTTTTTACTGGCTTCCATATGGATATGGAATACTATGGCAGAGGGTTAATCTCCCAAACACTTTTAGGGAAGCTGGATGGGAAAGAAAAATGCAGGCAGGAAAGCCTCGCTACTTTCCTGCTGCCCAAGTCAAGAAATAGTATTAAATATTCACACACTTAGAAGTCTTGGGAAAAAAAGTTAAGATTACTCTATGGTGGAACCCTTTGCCTGCATAATAGAATTGTAGCTGGAATTCTGTCTCATCCTCTACTTTAAAATAACTTGTTTTTTACTATTTATCTGCTCTGCCACTCTTATTAAGTCTACTCATAATGAGAAATCTGGTAAACATTTGGCTTTCTATCCTAATCTCATTAAGATAACTGAAAAAAGTATCTACTGATTATTTCCATTACCTGCATCTCATTTTTCTTTCTTAGTGACAACAGCTACAGCAGCCTTTTATTCTTGATTTAGCAAATCAATAAGAGTGCTTTAAGAATTGTTATTTTGAAATAGTAGAGTTCCATTGCAAACAATTACACCAGCTACTGAAATGAAAATAATATTTGCATATTGAGCAAAAGATAACATGTCTCCAAAATGCTCTTCTAGCCTGGACATTAAGGGAGCTTACTAAAAAAAATAGCGTACTTACTGATGAATCACCTTCAGAGATGACATTTCCAATTAATATTAAAAAAAAAACGTTAGGCACTTGTATCTTCTACAAGTTTGAAAACAAAATGCCTCCCCCCATTCTCTTAAGGAACACAAAAAAGAAAGAGATGGTGAAAAGTAAAAAGACTGGAAATGAGGCTATCTGTGATTTCTTTTCTTTCTTTTTATTTTTTTTAAGCTGCAGACAATTTTCTTTCTGTTGGACAGGCCATTTCAAAGTCTCTTGCCTTAACTGTTTTACTGTGATATTTCAAGATTTAATTCATTAAGGCTGATAAATAGATACAAAGCTTCCTTAGGTATATTTTGCATCTTATATAAGCTGATTTAAAAATCATGAACACAAGAAGCTTATTTATTTTTCCTGCATACCTTTACTGTTCCATCTGTTGAGCAGCTAGCAACATATTCATCATTTGGTGAAAATTTGCAATGATTCACAGAATTGACATGACCAAACATCGTATTTCTACAATATTGTCTGTTCAAATCCCAAAGCTGTATGAAAAATAAACATATTAATATCATTAAATTCATTAATTACTAAAAAAAAAAAAAAAAAACCACCCAATTTTTATGTTCTTCTTGAAATCATGCACTGGCATCCAAAACCTAAGAGGTTTTGGCCACATGCTCATAGACTTCATGTCATGCAACAGACTCCCCCATAACTAACTCCCACCTGCTAAATTTCACAAAAACAGCAGAGCTAATTAAGATTTCTGTGCACCTTTCTTAGTGATTACAAGCACAGCACAAAGTTGAACAGCACAAAGTTACTCAGTTTTTCTCTAAGAAGTGCCTCCCCTTTCTCTTTCAGTTTTGTAACTAAGAATTATGTAGCTTACACTTAATACTTAAACTGAAATCTGTGAAGTTAGTGTTAGAACCCCGAACATTGCACATATCTCTTACTCACAAACTGAACAGAGCATCCCTTGCAACCCCCTGCCTTTCCAGCCCTACCCTCACGCACCCTTTTTCTCAGTTTTCAAATTTCCTTGCTTTCTTCAGCACAAAAATAATTTACAGCTTTGTTTGCTTAGCTGAGACTCAAAGAAAAAACATCTGCTTTCATTTTTCTAGAGGGAGTGCATACTTCTGTTCTTATACACATTACTCATGAAAATATCAAACACTATCTAAAATCTTAACCGAACTGGCAATATAAAAGTGGCCATTTTGAACAGCTCCCTTCTAAATTTACCTATTCCAAAGTGTTGGTCTCAAACAGCAAATGCATCTGCTGGAATTTGCAGGAGTCAGCACAAACTAAGATTCTTCTTTCCCACTTGACGTCAGCTCCTATTATAACTCCAGCTTACACAGGCACAGACTCTAGCCAGAATTCCTCAGATGAGATTCCCTGCTGCAGCTGAGCCAGAGACAGATCCTGCCCACCACCAAGCCTACTCCTTGCTGTGTATTCCCAACAGTTCTCTTGCACTGGAACAAGGCAATGAGACAGAACGGGCAACTAAATAAAATCCCCAGCAAAAAGATTCTTTTCTTTTTTGACAGATTAGCTCCTTGCTGTATCACTGCAGGAAAAGATCAGGAGATGCACCGCTTCAGTGGCAGAAATGTCCAACCAGGGCAGCAGAATCACCATTTTCAGTGCCAATTAACTAGTCATATGCTTTGCTGTACTATGAGATTGCAGCCTCATTCAGCACAGTCTCAGTTGTTTATTCTTGTACCCCTTCCCTCAGAGGCAGTCTACGGTTGGCCATTTTCTGCTCCTTCAAGGTAAATATGCCTCCTTGCAATCTGAACAGTGCCAGACTGTTAGCCTGGTACAGCTCTGGCTTTGACTACTGCTTTTTGATGGCTTTCACCTTCTCTTTGTTATTCCCAAACAACTTAATCAAAAAACATAGCTGCCTGTCACTTCTATAATATAGAGGGGTTTTTTAAATTTTTCAGCAACCATTTGCTTCACATTATGAATGTCTGCAATCCTAAATTTCTGCCTCCATTTTCTCACACTGCTTTTAATCATATGTTCCATTTCCGCATTCTGCTATTCCTATCCCACTCTCTACAAGTCTTTTCAATGCCCTCAACTTTATGCTCTGCCAAGAGGTCTGGATCATTTTCTTTTGCTAGATATAACTACTTCCCCCATTCTGCCTTGTTGAAATCTGTTTTCAGAGTTGCCTTCAATACTCTTCAGCTTTCCCACCTCTAGCAGAGAGACTTAAAAAACTTACTTTACAAATGTTAAAAATACATTTGCGTATCCATCAGTAGTTATCCTGCTATTAGAAGCAGTAGGAGAACAGTCGCAATTGTTTTCACTTACTTTGATGAAAGTGTCATTTGAGCAGGTGGCTAAAAGATGCTGACCACTTCTGTTATTAAATTGGCAGCAATTGACCTGTTCTGTGTGTTCCTCATACACACGCATACATTGACCCGTTCTTGAATTCCAGACCTAGATGGAATTGGAGGATGAAAAAAAATTAAATATTTTTAGTGTGCTTTATTTAAAAAAATCTTTAAGCTCTGTTGTGATAAATACTTTTAATCACATCTCGATTTTTTTTGGAAGCAAACAAAAAAATAAGTATATTTAGCTTTATATTTTGATTTTTTTTGAAATTTAAAATAACTTATTCTTGTCAACATTCCATGTGAGGTTATTGCTAATTTTACAAATCTTCACAGTAGAATGTTTGAAAAATGGAGAGGAAGAGAGGGGAAAGTTCTTACTTCTGATGACAATTTGAGAAGGAATACAGTTTCATTAAGATATTGCTTTAATACTGAGGAATTACAAATTACCAAAGAAAATCCAACATTAAAAAATAAAAAAGAGAAGAGAAATTCAGAATATGTTATAAACATGACTGAACTCATACAGTTCTATGTTATGTTGAGCATTTTTTCCCTGTGTTAACCCCACAGAATCATGACCCATAGTGTATGAATTATCATTAAATAGTGAATTATCCATCTGAGTTTTAGCAGAGCTAAAAAAAAAATAATAATAATAAAAAGGCAACAACAACAACAACAAAAACCAGCAACACAAGCTAAAGAACTGCCCAAGTTGGTTAAAATTCAAGTCGTAATTATACTCTGGAAATTGCTTGCACTCCATTTCCTTACCTTCACTTTTTTATCAGCTGAACAAGTTGCTACAAAGGCACCATCTGCAGAGAACGCGCAACAAAATATCTCATCGTCATGTGCCTGTATCTCCAGAAGTCTCTCTCCACTTTCTGCCTTGAACACCTACAGAAACAACACAAGAATAGTAAAATCTTGCAACTTAATACAGTTCTAAAACATGCGACACAAAAATAAATTCTTTTTCTCTCAGACAGCTCTCTTACACAAGCCTTTCTATATAAAGGTGGTTTTACTCTGAAAGCATTTATAATCTCATGAATAGTAACATGAAAATTTAAGAAGAAAAAAAATCTATTTTGTAAAGATAACAAATTCTTGGGGAAATGAGTTGTTGAAAATAGATTTTACTAATAGCGTCTTGTACAGCATCTGTCAGCTTAAAAGATATTGACAAAGGGCATGGATTTAGGCCTGAAGAATGAAAGCAGAAAAAGACTTTGCATGCCGAACCCTTTTTAAAAATCAAAGCTATTTTTAAAGGTACTAATTTCAAATTAAAAATATATAAACTTTTTTTTTTTTTAGCTCAAAATAAGAAACTCAGCAGCACATGTTGATTTGGGAACAAAAAGCAAGAGACAAGTAATTAAAATGCCTACTCAGACAAGATGATACAGTCCTGAACTAGCTGTAGGAGGAAAGGGGCATTTGGGTAGAAAAAAAAAATTACACTAATTAATTTGCCAATTCTGGGGTTTAACTATACAACAAGGAAGAATTCAGGTCTCACATTCTTTCTCAAGGTTACCCATTCTTAAAATTATTCAAACAATCAAAAGGAGATCCTAACAGCAGCATTTGGGATACTAAAATTGTGAGGTACCTATTTTTTACTTTATCTTATTTTCTTTACTCTTCATTAAAGAGGAATGTTAATGACAATTAAATGGTTGACACTTATAACAGGAAATCTGCAGGATGTCTGTTCTTAATCTAGTGATCATGATTTTTGGCTTCACAGAAACAGCAGAACAGCCATAGGGACCGAAAAAGCTCTAGTTCTATTTCCATGCCACTATCATGAAAAACATAATTAAGCTCAAAGTTAAACAATGACTATATGGCTACTGTTATTTTTCCCCTTACTGTTAATTTTTTCTCCTTCAATAAATGTTTAGTTTAAACACAATCACAATCTACAGAATCTGCTTTGGTAGAAAACAAAGGGAAAAATAAGCAATCTGCAGTCTTAAAAAGGTCATCAAGTACAGAAGCCCAGCGCAGTAATTTCAGCACAGCATAAAACTAGCACATCCACCAGGTATCTCCTGAACTGGATGTCGTGATCAGAGCACAGTACAAGCCAGCAAATAAGTAAATAAATAAATAAATAAAGCACAATAACGATACATGAACTAGCCAAATGAACAGCAACTGAACACCACTAGCACTTTAACATTAGTATTCAACTCGTCAAGCATCCAAAACAATACCAAAGGCTTGCAGAAAGGTTGCTGTTTACCCTTACCTTTGCTGTCTGGGATATGGCTACGTGACCAGTTTACTGGCTGGCTGACTGCTAGTTTCCTTGAGAGCTGGCTGGCTCCCCTCCAGGCAGACTGCTGGCAAATTGGCATTAGTCACTCTCCTCTCTGTCTCCCCTTATCTGCTTTCTCAGCATTTTGCACCTGTTCTCAGCCTAATAAGCCCTCCGCTTCAGGGACTCATTTTTCTCCCCTAATTCTCTCCTTTTGCATAAGACATTTCGCCCATTTCATGAAAGCAGATGATATCTCATGTAAACTAAAAGATCGTAATATTTCTCAGCTCTACAGAAAATCTGAGAACTGCAGATGTTTGTTGCAAACAAACATGAAATACGTCGGGGTGTGTTTCCTAGGCAGTGAGCTTCTCCATATCATTAAAAAGGATTTCAACTCATTTATGCATTATGGAAGTTAAGATATAAACCATGAAATCATTCAAGTTTAGTGTCTGAACAAGACGACTGCTTATTTTTTCAAAGATGCAACTGAATGCATATATAATGATAAACCCATTGTTTTTTGTTCAGAAGAGGAAAATGGACTAATAGCAATTTTTAATCAAAATAACAGCTTTTCATTTCCTTGTTGCAAAGATTTTTACCTGTAGTGTTTTATCAGCTCCACACGATGCTATTCTTTGTCTATCCTGAGAAAAGCATGCATGGTACACTGCATCTCTGTGTGGACGAACTACCAGACGGGAGAGGTTTTTCATGGACTTCTTATTTCTAAGGATAAAATAGTCAATAAGTCAGATACGGGACAAAATGAGCACCCTTTTTTTCATATGTCTGAAGCAGCAGGCTTAAACAAACAAAACTCTCTGCCCTCATGTAGAAATAATACATGAAAAAGAAATACTACGTTCACTCTAGTATTAACCCTTCAATACCTAAAGCTTAGGTATCAAGAAATATAACTGCATGGAAAATAAACACCTGCTTCATATGTGGATTGTTGCCCCCTTCCCAGGACATGAGCTTCCTAACAACTTTTTCAGGATCTGCTATATGCTGTTTCCAAATACATATTTCTTCCCAAGACTTCTTGTTCCCCTGCAGATTCCCCTTCATATTTGTTCAAAAACATCTGTGTAGCTCTGATCAGATTTACTTGATTTTATAGGAATGATTCAATTCTCATTGCTAGGTATTTAAAGAAAAGCTATGTTTACCATTGCACTTCAAGTAGAGATTGAGTACAGAATCTAATACACTTTGGTTGATGCTAGCCAACTTTAACAAAGACTTTAATAGCAACTGAAATCGTCCTGGTTAGACAGACGTTATGACAAAAGGCTGCCATTGTAATAAAATCCATTCTGGTGATGAATGTATTGTTGCAAGTACCATTTTCTTCTAGAGACAATATGAATCCAAGTGCTTTATATTTTCATCATCACCACTTTCAATTTTCAGACTTAGTGTTTAAATAATGAGTAAAACCTCTTGAAAAAAGTAGCTAAGCTTTAAAATCTAAGCAGTTTTTCCACTGCAAAATGCTGACTGATCAAAAACAAAAGACCTATTATAAAAGGTAAAATTACTAAGTAATTTTACTAACCAAGAGAGGAAATTATTCATCCAGCTATCCTATAAACCATTTTTTAGGACAGGAGACAAAAATATCCAAGTCTCTGCTCTGTTTCTTCAAAATTCTTTAATCTCTTTAGCCCGTGAAGAATACAGCAGACCTTAAAAATGGCCTTATATTAGCTGTACATGGTAGTTAATTGCAGACTAAATTCCTTCCTGAATTAAGTGATCACCAGATGGATTGCATTACTTACATCCACTCCAAATAAAGTATGCCTGCTTCTTGTTGAGCAAGTAGCTTTGCTTGTTGATAGACCTTTGATGTCTCCAGTTGACAAAGACCCAGCTGTATTATGTCAGGAAATGGTTGTCGTCCAAGAAGGTGCCCATTTAAAGACAGAAATTCCTGGAAGTTCTCACGTACTATGCTATTCTGTGTCCAGAGCAGATAGTGTTTAGTAACAGAAAACCAGAAATTTTATCCTGATGTCTTTTCTTTTTTTAATTTCTGTAGAACTAATTTCCTTACAGAAGTAGAGTTTCTGTTCTTTTAGTAAGTATATGCAATAGACTGGACTATTTCTTTATCCTGTACAGAAAACCATATCATTCTTACCTTTTAAAAAAAAATGCATTGGCAACAGTGCTCAATGAGCAGTCAATGTGAAATATCAGAAGGACTATTTCAAGTGGCCAACAAAATTCTATACTAGCCAAGAAAGAGAATACTGTATGAATCCACCTTAATTATTGATGTTATTCTTAGTTATCGAGATTCATGGTTCATTACTTGGGTAAACACAGAAATTAAAACTGAAACTAAGACTGAAAATGATTTTTTTAAATTTCTTAATTCTTCTCTTCACACTAAAGTCTCAATACTGCCTCTAGCTTTCTATACATCTATATTCTCACTCTCTCTATATATATAAAAGAAAACAAACCACAAAAATGCAATTAAAAATGGAAAATATATGTGGAACTGACTGATAATTTACCTTTTAGTATCATACCTTTTGATCCAGGACTGAACTATATTCTACATATTCGTGAATCAGATGGGCAGGGCCTACCAACTCTGTTTTAGCTTTAATCCAATCCAGAGAAAACATAAGATCACAGAGTTCCTGCAAGAAATACAAAATTCAGTTCAAAGTACAAATTCCATAACAGAATCTACCTCACAAGAAAGGAAAGTACAGGAAATACATTAGATATTGAATATGCTTCAGTTCAACGGTCTCCATTTAAAACTTGTTTTCTGCATCTTACATGATTTGTATACAGAAGTCTAAGTTTACTATCTTGACGTAAAGTATTGATGGTTGGTAAAACTACTTGCAAAAGGGGAAGGAAAAGGATGCAACTTTTCAATTCTGTAGCACACAAAACCCAAGATACAACTCGAAGAGCTTTCAGGCTGGCCTAACAAAGATCACTCTGCTAATTATAATGTTGATCCTCCTAGCAGAGACTGACAGTTGCATTAAACGTAAAAAGAGAAAACTGCTTAAAGAAAATTAGCAGCAAATAGAAATATTAACAGAAGGTTGTTAGGATAAAAATAAAAAATGCTTAGATTTGATCACAGTTTGAATCTGTGATTATTGGTGATATCACCAACTAAAAAAACAGTAAATATGGCAAGTATCAAAAAGTTGTCATAGTTAAACATAGACACAGACAACCTTTTACCTTTTAATAGTTTTCTTTTTTCAAAACAGTCATGTCTAAATAATGAAAAATAAACAAGTATAAACTCTGGGACTTTAAGTGTACAGGCCAAAAAACTCTGAGAAACCAGTTTTACTACAAGTAGAAAGACTAATAACAAAAACATGCTTTTCCAATACATTAAAATTAGACTTTGTGATAATTAATGAAGTAAGCCTGATTAAAACAGGTAAGCAAGATTTTTAAGTTCAGGTAAATTCCAGTTAAATAACTGAAGCAACATGTGCTTCTCTGTTAGCTCAGTACCAAAAAAAAAATAAAAAAGGTGGAAAAACTGCTAGCATATTTTTAAAGACTACAAAGTGACACCGGGAACAATAGATTAGCCTGTTAGATGGCTCTTGAAAGCTGTTATAGAGGATGAACTTTTACACACAAATGAATACGACAGAACAGGAAAATCCGATTAAAAAGTAAACATATTCACCACTATATTAGAATTCTCTGAAGAAATCAGAAACTAGATTATCTTTATTACCATTCAAAATCTGCTTTCAGAAGACTTCTTACCAAAGCTTCCTTAGCAGGACAAGCAGCACAAATCATTATGATACGGAGCGACAGATCTTCTCACAAACTGATTAAAAAAGGCAAGAGACAAAAGGGCAGAAAAAATTGTTTGTATAATACATAGTAATCATCAGCAAGGGCCCAATGGACTGTGTGTTGAATGCTGGTGTATTTGCATGAAAGTCTAGCAGAAGGTTGATCTGGGGAGAGGACAAGAGAAACGAAATTGAGGACACCAGCCAGAACTCACCTCCTGCATGTTGGCACCTGCCATATGATATGCTAGAAAGTTATACCAGTACATGCAATCCTCTTGAGATGGAACAGGCATATTAAGCTTGTAATATTTTTTGTACTGATTTACTATGTTTTTATGTAGTTCCTGCAACAGGAATCAAAACATACGTTCGATTAATAACATAACAAGATATGGACTCTTTTTCAGTATTATCGGGACTTCTTTTGTTACTATTATTTGTCAGCTGTAAAATGTCAACAAATGGCCATTACATATGTAGATATACGAAGATCTAAGAACGTACCTATCCTTTATATTTTATCTTTCTACCTTCTCCTCCAAAAATGATATTTTATTGGGCCCAACATACAAAGCCTCTTCTTGAAAGCCTTGCCCTAAATTGGAGAGGTGGTGGGGAAGAGAGCACTTCTGGTATTAAATGACAAATTGCCTTTTCTAGTTTATTCTTGATGCCTTTTGGAATCACCAATGGAATATTCCAGCTTCCACTTGAAATATCTTTGACAGAGAATAATGGCTATAGAGCCTTCTCTCTGATGAGTTTCTTAACTGCAAGTGGGTCCAACATGAAATCATCCCATATTCTCAAGTTGAAAATATATCACTTTTAATTACTCATAGCGATTTTGACTGCATGCTGGATCTGTATTATAAAATTGCTTTGGATTATGATTTCACAAAGTTACCTTTTTTCTGAAATTTGTCCAGTTTTAGAGAGTAAAGTTGAAAACAGGTAGATTAACCAATACTCTACCTGAAGCTGATTGCGATTCTTCTCTGTAAGAAAGTCAAGTTGAAGATCATGTAAATAATAATGGAACGACTTCCCATTACGATCACAGAACAACAGTGATTTGTTAACAAATTCCTGTAAGATATCTTCAACTTCTTCAGTTTCCATATCCCAAAGAATACAGAGAACCTAAAAAATATTGAATAAGATAAAGAGGATAGCAAAACTAAGAGGCAAAATGGCTTGTAGGAACATCATAAGAGGCTACTCATTAACTGACAACGAAACATAAATAATTACGAATGGTAATAAATTCAATGGATTTACAACTTTATACAAAACTATATGACAAACAGGTTGCCAGTCACGGTAGGCTTGTAATACGAAACTGCACCAACGTCTGGCATTTCCCAGCAGTAAATACTAGCATCTAAATCAAACATTTATTTGGAACTCTGAGAAATGGAAGCGGGAAATGAGATAGCACAGGGCAGAAAGACTAGGTAGCAAGATGTCAGGGAACTCAGCAGGCATGCAAAAGAATGGCATCAACGATAATGACATATTCTTTGAGATTAAACAGGAAAAAAGAACTTGTTTTAGAGTAAGTAAAAGCAAGCCAGATTACAACAGTGACAGAAACATCAGACTTTAAGCTACTGTAGCAGATACTAGAGAAAGCTCTGCAGTGTTCAAAAGTAAGCACTAGGGCCACCAGAAAGGTGCCGGGAAGAATTTTTTTCATGATCTAACTAGCAAAAGCTTTTCTCAAAGTTTTGAGGAAGCACAATTACTTTAGCAGAATGTTTCACAGTTCTATACATTATAAAGCTATTTTTATTTCACTGCAATTTCCAGTCAACATTCTGGGCAGAATATGGTTGTCAAAAATCAAGGCAGATGTATAGTCCACAAACATGATCCTACCTCTCATTTCGACTTTCTCTTAGACTTCTAAGAAAAGGAGGAGGAGGAAACTTAAAGCATCCTTTGACTGAGTTTCCTCCTCAAAAACACTTTCTATCCTTCTAAAGTAACACTTCAGAAGTAAGCAGAATTGTAACAGCTGAGTTAATGACTATTAAACATAAAACTTAACTTTCCAAAATGTTTAGGAAATGCCCAATATATGAGAGACTGACAAAAACAAACAAAACCACAGAGCTCTGCAATACTGAAGTCCTAGGCTGTCACTTACAAATTGTATCTCCATTTATCTAAATGTGTTAGTTTATGGTGATCATATCTTTCTCTCAAAGAAGTCATATTTTACACAGCAGTCTTTTAGCCTTCAGAGAGCTCAGTTACAATCCAATTAAGGAGCATACTGAGATGCACATTAAAGCAACGTTATGAACACATTCATTCAGTTACAACTTTTTAGTTCCATCACTGACAATAAAAGTCATCATACTGTAGTGGATGCACTCCACCAGTTACTTTTAAGCTGGTCATTAAAGAGAAACAACAACTCTAAATTCTATGACTTCTTTAAAGTTATTGTACACATCTCATTAAGAACTATTGAGATTTCTGCATTGCTATTTTTACCTTAGTAGGAACTTTAACGTCTTTTGGGAGGATGGAAAGGTCCTTGTAATAGTCCTTAATGTTTTCATTCAGTTGTTCAACACTTATGGACATTGCTTCATCAAGAGCTTCGTAATCATAAGATGATGATTTTCTTATTCTTTTGAATTGCTTATTCTGCAGCTGTTTGAGGTAGTATTCCCAACGACCAGGGAAGTCTCGTAATAAAGCACCTATCAAGGATATCACAAGAGGAGAACCTGAAGGAAGAGATTAAATTAATGTTAAAGGTCATCAGAAAATAAAGTCCAACAATGTAAACAGAACAGTCTAAATTAAAAATGATCATTGGGCTGATTCACTGATTAAATTTTTGAGGTGCCAGAGAACAGCCAGGGAAAAATTCCCATCTATATAGATATTTGTACAGTTTTCAATTTATTCTTTTTTTATATATATAAAGACAGGTTGAAGAAAACTAATCAGAAAATAACATGAGACATTTATATTTATTTCACAGGACAAAAAGACCATCCAACAAATACTTGTCTTATATCTAAGCAGTACAAGATTACAAAATATTCCATCTGTAAGATGAAACTGTAAAGCAAAAAAAAAAATAAAAAGCATTGAGCACTAAGTGGTACAATAAAAAGTGGTAAGTATCATACCTTTGCATTCCCTTACAATGCAATCAGCTTGTTCTGGCAGTTCGGTTATTTTCTTATTCACAAACAGGGACAAGACCTCCAGCCCCTTCTCATGTGCTAATCCACTTTCTACATGAACCTCATATTTATTGCCTAGACATAAAAATATGTAAAGCAATGAAAAGGATTTAAAGAACTCCTACAGAAAATCAAAATATTTTCAGAGCAAAATCTGCAGCAAAGGTTCTGGTTCATGGCTTTCTGCATAATATTTTATATGCTGAGTATTATTTATAGAATAAATTCTATCTGACACAATCTTACTAGAGATTGCAGTTGTAGCACAACTACAGCTGCATAATGGACATGTTACAGTAGTGAACACTTCACGCTATAAAGACAATCAGTCTAATAGCAGTACCACAAAGTTGAATGTCCCCTATTGAGAAACACTGCAGTCTTCAAAGTAGATGGAGAACTTGCAGGGTAACATATATATTGCCCTGAAGAACATGAAGTCTTACGGAGCAGAATTCTAAAACTTTGCCACCTGTGCACAAGCTTCCATTAGATTCTTTAAGCAATTTACATCGACAATTTGCATACATGCACACACAACCCGTAATGCAAAAGATGAAGCTGCTCCTTACCAGCCACTGCATCTGTTACACTCCTGTCCCTGCTGGTAATAAGAATCTGACACTGATTATCAAATGCTTTTAACACCCAGGAATCCCAAATATCATCCAAGACCAAAAGAGACCTAATGTAAGAAGAAATATTGCAAATTTCAGATGAAATATTATTAAAATAAAATATAATAGTTTAGCACTAATGAAAGAACATTTTCAGTATTTGCAATGCATAATCTAAAATATTTTACATATAAATAGAAAAAAAAGGCAGCATAAGACTTAAACACTGCAAGAAAGCTCAATACAAGTTCCAAAAATGCTCCAAAAATTCTACCTATAAGAAAGACATTTCTACAGCTACAACTCAGATTTTCTCAAATACCTATTAGTTCCAAACTGCTTACCTTTCTTTGCTCCTCTGAATTTACTCAGCATAAATGCTCTTTGACGCAAAACAATAAAGCACCTGATTAGATAAGTGACTTTTATGCACAAGAAGCAATATGGCATAATGTAGCAACCAGAATATCATGCTACTACTTGGGTACACAGCCATTAAATTCTGGAATAGCTCACATGTCACAGAGATATATCCTACAAGAAAATAACCCACAATTCCCCCCTCTACTCAGAAGGGACTAATGTTAAGCATGAATTAAACATGCAAATTCTTCATCTTCATTTTTATTGATTTTAAAGAAAAAAAAAATCAAGAATTGCAGCAATGGAGGCAACCACTGAACATGAATAAACTTCAGGAACACCCACACCTTCATTTGAAAGTGCTTTTTTTGTATACTTCATAGAAGGCTTCATGAGAAAATAAATGTACTTTTCACAGCTTTGTGATAAGGGCACGAGATAAACTTTTCTACTCAAGGTCATCTATAGAAAACTTATTCTTGAGGTATGTTACTCAAGCACAGGCTTGTTTAGTTTAATACAAATTTTCCCAGAGAGTTATGACATCCTCAACAAATAACAAGAACTATTGTCCAAACATGAAGGAAAGCTGTGCAACCACCAGGACTGTACTTCATTAGAGTAACTCACTTTTCCTGAGATTTGAGAGCAACTGACTTCTTGGAAATATCGATCCCACAAAACTTAACGGACAGAGTTACACTGCTTATAGTATGCATCACCTGCTTTGAGCACACCTTTCCCTCTCCCATTTTTGTACACCTGTCTATACGCCTTACTCTTTCATCACATGCAAATCAGTAATTCAGGAAATTCTAACAGCAACGTTTACCCAAGGAAAGGAAAACTGTAAAAGTATTGCTATCTTTAACTTGAACAACACTGCCTAATTATCTACAGTAAAACAGAAAGAGGGAGAGGAAAACGTACAAGAGCAAGAATTTTTTAAGAGACATGAAATCGCAATACAGACCCTTAGGCAATTAGACCAAAGTTACTCTGCAATCATTTATTACTTAAAGAATAGTGTTTCCTCTTAGTGACATCACCTGGGGTATTTGCGTAGCATCAGCAAACGAAGACGATCTTTAGCCTCCTCAATGTTAAGGGGTGGTCTTTGTGAAAGGGTACTGTCGTGCTCTAACCTACTACAGAGATTCTGGAGTTTCATTAGGAGCCCTGCTTTGTCCTGTTTTCCAACAGATATCCAGTGAACTCCTTTTGGAAAATAATCTGAACAAACAAACAAACAAAAAGTAATTTTAATCATGAGATATATTCAGAATTAGAAATATTTAATAATAGCTTGTAATAGCAACCAACAATTCAATTAAAAAATAAAAGAGAAAACTGTTCTTAAAATCTATTATAAGTCAAGTTACAACTCTACCGTTTATATGGAAGGATGGGTCTACATGACTACTACCTTTCATTTCCAGAGGAAGAGACTATGTAGAACAAATACCATAGACAATTCACACGACCACTGATACTGTCCATCCTGTCCACCTGCCTTCCTGACTGACCCCTGACCCTTCTGCATCCGCCTTTCCTGCTAGTCTGACTCAGCACTCACTCATTTGACCTTGTATTACTGCAGGAGTTCAAAGTCTAGGATCTGAAATTATCCCAGAACAGTGAGCAAGATGGTATTTAGAGTCAATTGCAGCAGGGAATGCTGCAGTTTCTATCTCTCCATCAAGTTTTCTAATGCCTTGATCCCACTTTCCCCTTCATGTGGCCTATACAGAGAAAAATTCAGTAAGTAATTTCATTTATGAATGACCTTAAACTAAGGTGATAATATAGTAATCATTCCCCCAAAACTTGCTACCATTAAAATATATGCAAAAGTTACAAGTTTTTTAATTCATACAGTATGGTGAAGAGTTGAAGGATTTAATAAACAGTGCTCAAAAAGAGTAGAGAGAATTAACATTTCAAATTTATTTAGGACCAAGCAGTAACTACTCCGACAAAGTAACACAGACCCTACAGTGAAGAACTATTCAGTCTTTTCTCATAAATTAATAAAATATTTGGTGGAGCTAGAACACAAAAAGGTTAAGAGAGCTGTAAGTTACAAACATTTCAGGATTGCCTAAAGAACTTCTAAGTCCAAATTCAAATTACTTTCAACGTGACATAAGATACGTAGTTATATATGCCCCATATGCATATAAGTGTAGTAATTTTTATAAAAAACACAGACGTTTTTCCAAAAGTACCTTCCAAGAGTCGGTGATCCCTTAAAGCTTCTGCTGTTAGAACTGTCTTGCCACAACCTGCCATTCCATAAACTGTGACCCAACCTGGATCACTTCCCAAACAGTAGAGTTTCTGCTTAATGGCATCTACCAGCTTTGGGCGAGTAACAAACACAACTGGTCTCTGTGGCACACCTCCTTCGCTGAGGATCATCTTAACTGAAGTTAAAAAGCAAAATCACAAACAAACAAAAAAGAAACATACAGAAATAAAGAATAAATAAATACAATGCTGCTTCAAACAAAAGCAAAACAAAACACAAAAAACTTTTGTGCTCCCTCCCCCAAATTGTGCCCCATACAAGTGGTTTAAAACTACTGAACTAACCATGCCAGGCACTGGGGGGAAAAATAAAGAGTGCTTTTCAGAAACAAGTTACTTTGCAGGCACAAGCTTCCTACCTGCAGGGGTGTCCCAACTAAAGTAGCTAAAGGAACTATATTCTTTTGCAAGCTAGAGCTAGTTACATCAATCCCTGAAAGCAAACAGATAATTAGAGCTCCAGTATAACCGATGGCAAATGTAAATACAGCACTAGTTGCTTTTTCAGACAGAAGTTGCTGCTCCACAGCAAGCAGCAGAAGAGAATCCAAGCTATGTAGGGCTTTCACCCTGTGGTTAATGGCAGAGTGTTGTGGTCAAAGCTGACACAGGCTAAGCTAATGCAACAGGCTTTACAACAGAGTAGATAAAGCATAGCAGAGATAGACGATGTACACATAACTATTCCAATACTGGCCACAAAATGGACCATAGGTGCAAGACCACACTATACTAGTAAGTTTTGGAGAACATTAGTCAAGCAAACAAAATTCCATGACTTCCTGAAACTCTTCAAAATTCAGAGTCGTCAAACTAGAAGATTTATCTGACATTTTGTCAAATGCAGTAAGAAGGCTTGTCCCATGACACTAACAATTTACTTCACATCCAGTCAAAGATGACAGTGACGAAAGCTTATGTAAAATTTAGGAGTTTATTTGAAGTAGCTAAAAGATCTTTTGAAAAAAACTGATCCGTCTATTATTACCTAGCTCAACCGTTGGTTATTGGAGAGTAAGATATTATACACTACTCAAAGGAATATCAGAACTGCAGAGACTGCAGTTTTTTATGTTAGATTCAGCTTCTTTAATTCAAACACATATGAAGTCTTTCACTTCCAACAAAAATGTTAAGATTTAGAAAATAAAATGTAAGAAGTTCAGGTTTATTTTTGTTGTTGTTGTTGTTTGTTTGTTTGTTTTAAATAAGCACTACTAAGGAAGAACATTTTCAAAATAACCTGCACAGGACACAACCATCCTGCTATTCCACATTAATCACATGAAATAAGCCAATACTGACTATACAAAATCAAAACAAATTCATTCATCAACTACCCCTTTTTCATCAAAATAGGTAGTACATCCGGTCTTTACGTTCAAGCGCAAGGATTGCCATAGATATACTGACCATATGAAGTCATTTCATCCACAGAACTCTTCCCATTACCCGCAGAGAAGACAGGGATGCCATCCTGAAGTAGTGCAGCGAGATCTCTGTACCCTTCATGAAGTAGTGCATTATAGAAAGATCTATACGAATTATTATCTTTTTTAAGGATAATGTTTATTAGCATAGCTGCTCGCTTCTTCTGAGTATTCTAGAAGAAACATTTAAAAAATATTACACAAAGCTAAAACACCTTATGGAGCATTTAATCTATCATCCTGTGTTTATTAATCTAGAATTAGGCCTCAACTTCAGCAGCCCTTAACTTGTGAACTGCAATAATAACTGAAGACTAAGCACATGCTTGAAGAATCTGCTGAATCTGGGAATCATACACACTGAAACAAACATGAACAAAAAGAATGCTAAAACACAGGGCAGCTTAGGAAGAGGAAAAACAGTGAAAGATGACTCCACCTGTTGTTTTACTTCCTCTTCCTCCTCTAAAGTCAATACTCCGTCAGCAATCATATGATCCACAATGTATGAGGTCTTGATGTCTTTTTCCAATGCTTGACGATTCAAAAGTAGATAATTTCTACTCTTCATATCCATGTTTCTTCAGTGCAGAAAAGAAAAGAATCAAGCTGGAACCAAAACACAAAAGTACAGAGAAAACATCTTTAAAATATCTTATAGATTTTAATTTTAAAAAAGGCAGAAAAAGCAGCAGAACCATTATATAGGGGGAAATACATTGACTTTTCAGGCAAGCTCATACCACAAACTGCAGGAAGCTGAAATACTTAGTTGTTTTTCACTTTCTATCTTGATACAATAGTACTAGGAAAATATTTTTTTATGAATTCTATCATGCTGTTTATGATTCACTAATCCAGCCTGGCTGGATAGTAGGATGGCATATTAAAATTGTACTAGTTTACCAGATTCTGTGTATACGAACAGTGCTCTTAAAAATGTATTTAGATGTCATATGCTATTATGTTTGAATTAAAAAAGCCCAGATGAACATTATTATACTTTCATACAGAGTATTTCTCTGAGTGTTCCTCTTAGGAACACAGAAAACAAGAACAAAACTATTTAATTCTATAGTAATTAGATTCACAGTGCTCATTAGGTGGTTTTATTTAAAAAAGTGTAGTACTGCTAATTTTTGCAGAAGGAAGAACTAGCACAAGTCCATTTCCAAGTTTGCCTCAAATTATTTTTATATACATTTTGCAGAACTAAAAATCCTGGTCTGTACCAACTTCTTGCACTAGGACCTTGCCAGATCATAGAATCACTTTGGTTGCAAAAGACCTTCAAGATCATTAAGTCCAACCATAAGCCCTTCACCACCCTGCTAAACCATGTCTCTAAGCGCCTCATACACATTTCTTCAATATTACCAGGCTCAG